ACTGTTATGTCTTTATACTTCATGAGTGTATGTGTGTGTGTGTGTGTGTGTTTATGTGTGTATTAAGCCAGTTATTGTCTCAGACACGCTGGCATCTTGTGTATGATGAAAATAAGATGGATGAATACAGTCGTGGGTGGACAACAGCAACGAGTCCGTGTGCGTGTGTGTGTGTGTGTGTGTGTGTGTGTGTGTGTGTGTGAGTGTGAGAGACAGAGAATATGTGTATGTGGCCATTCATCTTTTCTGTCATCTGTGTTCATTTATGTCTCTTTGTGTTTATGTGTTCATTGCTGTGTGTGTGTGTGTGTGTGTGTGTGTGTGTGTGTGTGTGTGTGTGTGTGTTTGTGTGTGTGTTTGTGTGTGTGTGTGCTGTTGGTCTTCCTTTCAACTGAACAGTTTGTCCTTGTGTGTGTTCTTCTGTATGTTTTCAGTTTGTAAACCAGTGTCCATTTGTGTTGTGTGTGTGTGTGTGCGTGTGCGTGCGTGTGTGTGTGTGTGTTTGGGTGTGTGTTATATAACACTGAAGCAACCAGCTGTACTCCCTCTCTGGCCATCCTCACCATCGGTCTCCCACTGGCCTCAGCTCGGTAAAATATTCATACTCCTTCCCGCTCCTCAACACTCTGCCCTCCATATTTATGAAGCTGGCTGTCGTCCTCCGGTGTTAGACGGATCTTCTGCGATTTCTGTCGAGATGCGGATCCCTGCGGCAGCGAGATTTGTGCAAGATTCATTTTGCTGTTGCTGCTAAGTGGGCAACAGTGAAATCCAGCCAGTGCTCGCTCTCATCATCAGCACCCCCGCCACAGGATGATTAGCATACTGGGATTTCATATGATGGACTAGTTTGTGTCTCTTTTACTCCTGATTGGATTCCTCATGTGTGCAAATTTAATTTTACTTTAATGAGCAAATTTGATTTGATATGGGCATCTTCAATTTTAATTTAGTGATTCAATTTTCTAATCATGATTTTTGACACTTAACATTCAACAAGTTCTTCAAAACTTAATGACAAAAATCTGTTGTTTTTTTTTTTTTCTTCCTCGTCGTCTTTAAAAATGAACATTTTCTGCCGGAGCTTTCCAAATCACTGCTCCAGTGGTCAACAGGTGGAAGAAGATGGTTAAAAACAACTACAGCTACATTTAGGTTTGAGAACGAGTGGGTGAGTTGTCGATAACGATAGAAAAACACTGTATATAAGTGCAGTTCATTTAGATTCAGGTGGCTCTCAAACAAAGTCATGCAATATATTTGTGCTTTTGCTCTCTGAGTCATAACGAACGCGATTGCTAAAGGTCTCATCAGGTAAACTTACGTCGAATTTAGGCATGTTGTTTTTCTTGAGAAGGGCTTCCAGTGGGGTTTTTTTCCCCCCTTTTTGATAGACACCAGACAGATGATAATGATTTTGTTTTTTTCTGGTTCTGGTGAATACTAGATAGCATCAGCATCGATTTCCCGTCTCAAATTGCAGAGGGCTGCAGGATTCTTCAGTGCTTGCGAAAGGGTAGAGAGTGTAGAATTGTTTTGAATAGTGGGGAGGAAAAAAGCAAAAAGATCTTTGAGAATTTTTGGTGAAATTGGCCCCTGGTCAAGACTCACAGTTTGATTTGGGAACTGGTTGGAGTCTATTAGCCTTGGTTAGCCAGTTAGCATTCTGTAACACTTGCTTATACTAAGATTTTAACTTGTAAGGAAAAAATAGATTAGTCATACACTTCCTTATATTCATCATTACACACGATATGTTTATGAAACTTCTATTTTAATGCGTTTTCTTACGAGATTCAGTGTTCACCGTTGCTATGAGCGTATCCGTCCTCATCAACAGTCTGCAATACGACCGGCGCTCAGTGTTTCCATTAAGATTTACAACAATGAGATCTGCACATTTTTGCTCAAGTTTCTTTTTGGTTTCTGTGTTGAAATATTCATGTTCTGCTCCGTGGCAGTATTATATCATATATTTAAAGCTCAGTATTGTGCTCCACTGAGGGCAGATAGTGTTTTCTCTACAGGTTGATAATAGGGAGATTTGCACATCACTTTTTTTTTTTTTCCCCTCCTGCTCTTAACCGACTGTGCCTCTCCTCTGCTCTCGACCCTGCATATTTATAAAAGGTTTTCCCTCCTCTGCAGACACGTTCACTATGCTTTTTTTTTTTCTTTTTTTTTTCCGGTAAGATATACAAAAGCAGCCAGATTTGCATTGTGTATTTTTATTTTTATTTTTTAATTCCGTCTCCATTAATCACCAGCACAAATATTCATATTTTTTTCCTTCACATTAACAGTGGACTTTGGGGTTGAAGTTTAGCTAGTGTCATCCATTCCATTACAGTCAGACACGGGCCGTTTGCACGAACTTGCTCTGTAATTTTTTTTCACGACAATCCATTAAGCAGCACTCAAATATTCATACTTTACCACCTCCTCAACATATTTCACTGACATCCTCTTTAGTGTCGACTAGTGCTTTGTTCAGATTCGCACATATCTGCAGAGAAAATTTCACTGCACGGTCTCATGACTCTTGTTGGAATCATACAGAGGATGTTTTTCCTCTAATGAGCCCCTGATTCACTTTACATGTTACACTGGCGCTCCAGTGTGAGGAAACTGGAG